AAGATTGTTTAAAATAAATGGTATTATCTTTATGTCAATTATATCTCAATAAAACTAGGAAAAATGTTAAATAATTCATCAATATTTTATATTATATATTGAAATTGTATTTTGAATATACTATATTACATTAAATAAGATATATTAAAATTTTAAAAATTGTGTTATCAAGATAACAAAAATTGTTGTTATCTTGTTACTTTGATCAAAGTAACAAAGATTGTTATCTTTGGCACTTTGAACAAGTGCCAAATTAACTTTCTTGAGACATTTTATTTCTTAACATTATTAAAAAATAAGTTCTATTTAGGGGGTGTTTATTCTGCTGCAGATGAACCATGAATTTTGCACATCAAACTTTGTGATGGAGTTTCATAAATAATTGTCATCATGGAAGATATTGCACAATGTTGTAATATCACCTTATAAATTACTGTCACTTTTATTGCAATTTCACCATTTCTTAAAAGCAACGTCTAGGGCCTTATAACATTTGTTAAGGTCTTCTTTAATCTTTTCAGTGCTGGGATATTATAAACAAAACCAACAATAGCAGTATGTTCATACTAAATCTTAATATGTTGCTGGTTCCAAAGTAGTCTATAGAGATCAGTTTAGGATTATTTGGCAGTGACTCTTCTTTATAGTCATGTATGGTGAACATAATCTAAGGTGGCCCCCATGGTTTCCTTCTCCTCTGGGTGTTGACACATTTGTGTGTTGCTCCTCCCTTTGAATGTGGACACTACCTTTGACTTGCTTCTAACAGAACAACAGAACATAGTACAGGTGATGAGATATCACTCCTTTGACTATTTTATGGTATGTAAGACTCTGTAGTTAGTAGGCTCACCATAGAGACTGTACTTGTTTGATGAAGTAGGCAGCTACGTTGTAAAAGCCCATGTGGCAAGGAACTGCGGTAGCTTCAAGGAGGTGAGGTGGCTTTCAGTTGATATCCAGCAAGCAGCTAGTGCCCTCAGTTTTACAACCACAAGGAAATGAATTCAGCCAATTACAATACTGGGCTTAGAAGTGGACTCTTCCCCAGCCTAGCCTCCCTTATGAAAATACAACCTAGGCAACACTGTGAATGTCTCACTTTGTGAGACCCTAAGCAGAGGACCTAGCTAAGCTGTGCTTAAATTTTTGATTCACAAAAACTGAAATTAATGAAAGTTTGTTTAAAGTGGCTATATTTGTGATAATATGTTATTCGATAGAAAATGAATACATGATACAGATGTACTTATTACATTTTCTTGCTTTAATTTCTGTATATTGCAATGTCAGTTTCATTACATCTGGTATGTAGAAATTCTTTTGACTAAATTATTTTTAATCTTTTAAAAGGTAAAAGAGCCAAACTGTGAAACAGATTTCTTTCGTTTTTGTCTCCCCATCAAATGGTAAATGTTAAGTGTTTAAGTTTCTAAAAACCATTACATAATTCTCCAAAAATGGTTGTATCATTTTATACTCCCTCTAGTGATATTGAGAGTTCTAGTTGGCCCACATCCATACTAACACTTGTTATGGTCAGACTTTAAATTTTAGTCATTCTAGTGGGTGGGTAGTGGTATCTCACTGTAGTTTTAACTTGTATTTGCCAGATGAAAAATGATGTTGACCGTGTTTCTCATGTACAAATTGGCTATTTGTATATCTTCTTTTGTGAAATGTGTGCTCTAGTCATTTGCTCACTTAAAATGAATTGTGTAGTTTATTATTATTACTAAGAGATGTTTATACATTCCAGATATAGATCTTTTGTCAGATACATTGTGACTGTATTCCTCCGGTCTATGGCTTGCCTTTTTCCTTTGAAAAATATTTGCAACGGTAACTTTCAAAGAGCAAAAGGTCAACCTCCCTGGTGGTCTAGTGGTTAGGATTCGGCGCTCTCAAAGAGCAAAAGGTCTTAATTTTTATATTGTTTAGCTTGTGAATTTTTATTTTTTGTGAGTTCAATTTGTGAGTATTCATCCTATGTACATCCAAGAAATCCTTGCCTGTCCTGAGATCATGAAGATTTTCTCCAGTGTTTTCTTCTAGAAGTTCTGTAATTTTAGCTTTTACATTTGGGTCTTAGTCCCTTTTGAATTATTTTTTACTTTAAAAATTGTGATAAAATACATATAACATTTAATTATACACATTCTCAAGTATACAATTTAACGGCATTAAGTTTATTCACAGTGTTGTGCAACTATCACCATTATATTTCTAAACTTTTTCATCACCCCAAGTATAAACTCTGTAGCCTTTAAGAAATAAGGCTTTCCCAGCCTCTGGTAGCTCTATTGTACTTTCCGTCTCTATGCATTCACCTATTACAGGTACTTCATGTGAGTAGAATCACACAATATTTGGCCTTTTATGTCTGGCTTATGTCACTTAACATAATTCATTTTGTCCATATCTTACGTCAATTTTGGTAAGATATTTTTTGAGTTTTTCTTTTTTAATTTTTAATGTTTATTTATTTTTGAGAGAGACAGAGTGTGAACAGGGGAGGGGCAGAGAGACATAGGGAGACACAGCATCCAAAGCAGGCTCCAGGTTCTGAGCTGTCAGCACAGAACCCGATGCCGGGCTCGAACCCACAGACCGTGAGATCACAACCTGAGCTGAAGTCGGACGCTTAACCGACTGAGCCACCAAGGTGCCCCTTGAGGTTTTTAATTTATGTTATTGGCATAAGTTGTTCCTGGTATTCTCATTCTTTTATTGTCTGTTGAAGTGTTGCGATAGCCCATCTTTTATTCCTAAGAATGGTAATTTGTGTTTTCTCTCCTTTGCTTCTTGATTTGTCTTACTAGGAATTTTTTTTTTTTTTTTTAGAGTAAACTACATCCAATGTGGGGCTTGAACTCACAGCCCCAAAATCAAGAGTCACAGGCTCTAAACTGACTGAGCCAGCTGGGTGCCTCTGTCTTACTAGGATTTTTATTAATTTTATTAATATTTTCAAAGAACCCACTTTCGGCTTTGTTAATTTTTTCTATTTTTTCTTTTCTGTCATTGATTTCCTTTTAGAAGCATATCCTAAACCATTGAGGCTGCCTCTAGACCTCAGGACAGGGCTCTTCTGTTCCCGCCCCCCCCCCTTTTTTTTAATTGAGATGTAGTTGACAGACAGTGTTTTAGTCATTGATTTCTGCCTTTACTTGTATGTATTCTTATAGTTTGATTTTTAAATTTTAATTGGCTTTTTTTTTTCAGTTTTTAATCTAGAGGCATAAATTAGTGTAAGCATTTTATTTTTTATTTTTTTTATTTAAAAAAAATTTTTTTTAACGTTTATTTATTTTTGAGACAGACAGAGATAGAGCATGAACGGGGGAGGGTCAGAGAGAGAGGGAGACACAGAATCTGAAACAGGCTCCAGGCTCCGAGCTGTCAGCACAGAGCCCGACGCGGGGCTCGAACTCACAGACCGCGAGATCATGACCTGAGCCAAAGTCGGACGCTTAACCGACTGAGCCACCCAGGCGCCCCTAGTGTAAGCATTTTAATGTAAGCATTTAAAGCTATAATTTCCTTCTAAGTGCTCCTTTAACTGCATACTATAAAGTTTGATATGTTGTGTATTCATTTTAAATTAATCTAAATTATTTTCTAATTTCCTTTGTCATTTCACCTTTGATCAATAGCATATTTAGAAGTGTGGTTTAATTTCCAGATGTTGGGGAATTATGTAAAAATTGTAATTGATTTTGAATTCTGTTGTGTTCAGATAACATGCTTTATAGGATTTCAGTCTTTTGAAATTTCTTGAGATTTCTTTTATGGTCTAGCCTGTGGTCTTTCTTGATGTATGTTCAATGTGTGTTTGATTAGCTACCCTGCATTCTAACTGGTGCCTTCTCAGCCTGGTGGAACTACTATATTTTCTTGAACTGTAGCTGTCTGTACCTCTGTAAGAAAAGTGTTCCCAAGCAGAGGGCTGGGACAACTGGGATGTTTCCCCTTTTCCTGGGTTTGCATTTTTGTGTTGCCTTTTCCCAGTGCCTGAAAACTGCTTCGTATGCTTTGTCTAGTTTTATGGGGCTTTGTAGCAGAATAGCTAGTTTTGTCCTCCTTCATACAGTTTGTCTAGTTTTATGGGGCTTTGTAGCAGACTAGCTACTTTTGTTTCCATAACTCTCATAGTTGCAGGTGAAAGTTTGACAGTCTTAATGCCTAAAATTGAGAGTTTTTTCTTAGTTCTCTCATAAGTGAGAACCTGTATTTTGTTTCAAGTTAATGAAAGTGTCATTTGTACTTTGTCATTTTCCTCCTTAGATAACTTATTACATATAACAAAGTTGTTTAACATGACTTTTGTCCCTGTTATAATCTATAGAACTGAGTTATATATATATATATATTTTTTTTAAAAGTTAGGTATGATTTTTCTTACTTTTTCCAGTAAAATTAATCATTTCAGTCTTTATTCAGTCTTGCTAGTGACCATTTGTTTCATCATTTTTCAACCAGCTGAAATCTTTAGTCATTTTAGCATCAAATTTCAAAATAATTTACATTAAACCTGTAAGTTTTTCTTTATTTTCTGTGATCACTTTGCTGTTAAACCACAGGAGGAAAAAAAAAACAAAAACACCTTTCTACTTGGCTAAACATTAGATAGATAATATTAAGAACAATTATACATGCATCTATATTGGCATTTACTTCTGTTCTTTGACTATGATGGCTTATTTCCTGTTTATTCAATCTTTTCTTTAGTGCTAATAATTGTATGTGTGCCTTCTGTGTGCAGTGAAGTCTGTTCACTTTCGTTAATTTTGTTTTTTAATTTAAGCAGTACAACTTATTTGTAGATTTTTTATTTCTTAAGTTCTACTTTCCTGCTTTTTCTATCTCTGTCATGATTATATCTTGTACTCATTATTATAATGATCTACAGGATTTAAAAAGAAAATGTAATTGTATTCAGAGAGTATCAAGTTTGAATACATATATTTTATAGTTTTCAAAAATATATTGCAAACTATAAAAATATGGAATGCTTCCTGAACTTGTGTGTCATCCTTGCCCAGGGGCCAGCTAATCTTCTTTGTATCATTCCAGTTTTAGTATATGTGTTGCCAAAGTGAGCACAAGTTTGAATATATTTTTATAAAAATGTAAAGTAAAAAATTGAAAATTTTCATGCTTTTAAAATTATTTTGTTTTTAAGTATTTTAAATTATTTACCCTAAATTTAAGAATGTTGTGATTTCGGGGCACCTGGGTGGCTCAGTCGGTTAAATGTCTGACTTCAGCTCAGGTCATGATCTCACATTTCGTGAGCTTGAGCCCCGCATTGGGCTCTGTGCTGACAGCTTGGAGCCTAGAGCCTGCTTCCGATTCTGTGTCTCTCTCTCTCTCTCTCTGCCCTTCCCCTGCTCACACTCTGTCTCTCACTCAAAAATAAATAAACACTAAAAAAATTTAAAAATTTTGTGATTTCTGGATACATCTGAGTGTGTATTTTTTTTTTAATGTTTGTTTATTTTTGAGAGAGAGAAAGTCAGAGGGAGAGTGAGAGAGAGAATCCCAAGCAGGCTACGTGCCATCAGTGCCTGACATGGGGCTCGAACTCATGAATCATGAGATCATGACCTGAGCCGAAATCAAGAGTTGGACACTTAACTGATGAGCCACCCAGGTGCTCCTAAGTATAGTTTTATAGATAACATTTTAATTTTAGCATTTTTTTTTTAAGTTTTTTTTTTTTAATTTTTTTTTTTTTCAACGTTTATTTATTTTTGGGACAGAGAGAGACAGAGCATGAACAGGGGAGGGGCAGAGAGAGAGGGAGACACAGAATCAGAAACAGGCTCCAGGCTCTGAGCCATCAGCCCAGAGCCTGACGCGGGGCTCGAACTCACGGACTGCGAGATCGTGACCTGGCTGAAGTCGGACGCTCAACCGACTGCGCCACCCAGGCGCCCCAATTTTAGCATTAACTATACAATTATCAGCATAAAAAATTAGCCTTTGGCCTTACATATGTTATGTCTAGACCTGCACATAAATAAACTTACTGGTGATATGAATTCCTTAATTCTGCAAAATGTTCCTCAGCTGCCATGTGCTCTGGTATGAATACTGAGGTAAATGATAAATATCTTTAGAACCATGAATTGGAACAGAAAGAAATTAAGTAAATAGTTGTTGGGTTGTATTTAGAACCATACTTGGATTAGACAAGAAATCTATTTTATTCATGTTATCTGAGAGGAGGAAGGATTTGACAGGTTAATTAATTTGTCTTTTTGCTTACTTCTAAAGCCCTTTGCTGTTCAGATACTTTATAATCTCAGCAGAATTCTCTCTGAAGTTTGCAGTTTCACAGTCCATAACAGCAATCTGACATGGTTGTCTTCTTAAAAAATACAAAGGAAGAAACATGTGGGCAACTGTTTTCCTGAGGTTTGAACAGTGTAAGTCATGAGAATGGATTTTTAGGGTTCTACTTTGTCAGTACAGAATTGTAAGTCACAAGTGTGATAGAAGCAACCCATTTCTTTAATGAATTTATTTTTGTGTATTTGTTATTTTGCAGAACTGCTAAAGTGAGAAGCCTGTGGCAGAGACCCTTCTTGCCTGGCCTAAGGGTAGTAATGCAGTTGATAAATAGTTGTGTGAACAAATAAGAAAAAGCAGATGTTTAATCTTCCATACCTCAAATTGTTGAATGCTATCCAGTCCCAGGGAAATGTTAAGCCCTCCTAGTGCTGACACAGCCACAGGAATATTGGCACAAATGTATTATAATGCCAGTAAGTTTAAAGAAAGTGCTTTGTGTGGGGATGTTAAACTCTGGGAGTAAGAGTGATGCCTTCTTTGGGTTAGATGAAGGACATAAAATATGACTCCCATTCTCTAAAAATCAAATATTTTCTAACCTTTAGCATTATTTAAGGAGCTCCATGCTCTGCCTCCTCTCCCAATTTATTATTGCACAGCAGGCTAGAGAGAAGTGTATTTGCTGCTGTTGTCAGAATCTTCTGCTGAAAGGTATTTATAGCAAAATGGTTCATTACATTGATTCTAGAGATTACCTCAGTTCACCAACTTGGCTGAAGACAGGAATACTTCTGGCTAGCATACATAGTTCATATGTAGGATAACTAGGTGCAAATATATTGAAGAAAGGGTACTTTCTGCTTTACCACTGGCATGATTTTAACATCCTCGTGCTGCCTTCTTTTTTTTTTTTTTAATAATGAGAATAATAATAGCGCATATATTATAGGACTGTGATGAGGACTACCTGGGTATTATGTGTAGTGTGCTTAGAATAGAGTACATAGTAAGTACTTACAAATGTGTAAATGTTTGTTGCTGTTATGTCATCATTATATATTACTATTATTATTGTTCAGGAGCATGGGCTTGGGTATTAGAGATTGGACAATGTTGATTAGAAACTTAAGGCTGGCCTTAACTTAGCCTGAGATGGGGATAGACCATGGTTGGTTTCTTAGTTGTGGGAGTGTGGGCTTTTGTGACTGACCCTGATAATTACTTGTTGAGAGGTTGTAGATTTCAGAGTGTTTCCATTTTCATTAGGACTTATAGAAAACAGGGGATTCTGAAATAGGAGCTGTGAGAGCCAAGTGATGGACTAGTACATGGAAGGAAGAGTGAGTGTCTGTAGCTACTAGGTGGGGGCGAGTTTGCTTGGGTAATTAGAACAGTGGCTTTCAAATTTTGTAGACTCTGACCCCCTTTTTAAAAAAAAATTTTTTTAATAAACCTATTTATTTTTGAGAGAGAGAGAGAGAGATTGAAGCAAGGGAGGGTCAGAGAGAGAGAGAGGGAGACACAGAGTCTGAAGCAGGCTTGAGGCTCTGAGCTATGGACACAGAGCCTGAGGCAGGGTTCAGACTAACAAACCATGAGATCATGACCTGAGCCGAAGTCAGATGCTTAACCTACTGAGCCCCCTAGGCGCCCCTACTCTGACCCTTAATAACAAAAAGATTTTATATTGCAACCCATCACATGTGTTTGCCCTTGTATATTTATATGTATTACCAGTAATAGATGTCACAAACATACATATTTCATAAAACAGTTCTGTGTGAAGCACTCTGATATTTTCTATTCTATTTCATTCTGTTTTCCTTTTAAGAAAATGTTGGTCCTGACTTCCTGAAATGATTTTATGAGTTAATAAAGAGTTGTGACCTGCAGTTGAAAAGTATTGGTTGGGGTATGAATTAATCCTTTGAATGTTACCCTAGAAAAACAGTTTGACATACTTTGTCATCTAGATAAATGAGTTGGCAGGTGCTCTGAAGCAGGGGACCAAGACTTTTGCTTACTCTGGCTCCCTTAGCTGTTGTTGTTTAGCTCTGCTTGATCACTTGGCTTTACCTGAGCACTTGGCTTTCTTCAGGCCAGGCTGTTTTTGTCAGATGGTTTTTTGTGTGTCTGGGCTGATCTCTACAATGGGAGCTAGCTCCTTGAGGGCAAGACCTATAATAATAGCTAACGGTTCTGTAGCACTTCTGTGCTAGGCACTTTTCTGTTTCACATATATTAATCTTCACCACAATCTATAGATAGGTACCTTAATTATTTGCATTCTACAGATAGGGAAAACAAAGCATACAAGGTTAAATAGCTTACACTTCTTTAGAGTTCTTCTGTAGCTTACCTTAATGTCTTGTGTAACATCTGCCATGCAAATGATGTTATTAATAGTTACTGGTTGAAATTAAACCAATACTTTCTGGACTTATTTTCTTAGCTTCCTATGGCTTTTCTCACCACAAACTTATTCAAGTGATTAGAGAGTAATAGAAATTGAATTAAAAATGATGTTAAACTTTGTTTACGGAGGGAGTACAGAGTTTATTTAAATCGGTCAAATTCAGAATTTGAATAATGGCTATGCTTTGAGTCCTAACATTAAGACTGTAATACTTCACCTGACCTGTGCTTGGCAATGAATAATGTTGCAGAAATGCCCATGTATTCTTAGCTCCTTAATTTACCAATTTGGGATCTTAATATTCTTTCTTCCAATCCACCGCCCACTGCAACAGCTGTTCTGTAGTGGCCCACACCTCCAGAGTTAATGGCATTTCTGTCACAGTGTGAGTTTTCAAGTTGGTATTTACGGTTTTGCCAGAGTCTTCACTGCTACCAGGCCTCAGGGTTGGAGGTTGCAACTGACTTGTGGGGGAGGGAGTTTGGTGCTTGTCACTGGGGAGGAACAAGGTGCTCTCTGACGCTCTGATTTGTTACAGGCGGAGTGTGAATGATGTCAGGCAGATCTGAGGACAGCTGATTCATTTGGGATCTGGGACTCCTCACTGTGCCTCATTGCTGCCTCCTGGGCGTTTAAGTCTTTTGCAGTGGGGGTGGGGTGGGGGGATTCTGAATATTATGTTTTAGAAGAACAGTGCTTTAATTTTTCTCTTAAGTTTGGGAAACCTTTGTAAGTTTCCTTTGGCTTATAGACTGCATACCCCTTGTGTGAGAGAACTTCCTGCCAAGACTCCCGAGTGTGAGAGGGCAAAAGCTTGAGTAGCCAGGAAAATGATGAAACGAAGGAGAGAGAGACTGGGAGCACCATGTCTGCGGATTCAGTAAGGAGGCTGGGGTCTCTGAGTAGAAACTGGCACATGTCAGGAAAAGAACTAATGCCAACTAACACACTTTCATTTGCTTGGATAAAGACTCTGCTTTGGAGATGCCAAGAGGGCTGGGCTGGCTTCATAAATTCAAGGTCAAAACACTGGTCCCTGGCAGGGGCCTATGGAGCTTCTAGTTCTGAAAATTGAGTTCGATATCATTTTAGGGGTGCTTAGGTACCTGGGGAACTGGGTTAATGATTAAGATCTTTTTTCCTGCCTTGAAAGCAAATGTGTATTTAAATTTACTGTCAAAGCTGCCTATACAAGCTCCATGAATGTGGGAAACAAATGGAAGTGAAAGTATCTTCTCCTTGGACTGGAGAGGGTATTGTATTTCTGCCCCTGGCCTGTCAGCTCAGGACCTCAGATCTGCCCTTGCAGATCCAAGCCTGAGTCCTTTCAGGTGTGACCTAATTTTATTTCTGTGTTGGCCAATATAGAAATAAAATAGAAATAGAAGAA